CCGGAGCAGCTCGTAGCCGAGGAGCAACATGTAGCGGAGGAAGCTTTGGCCGACCCAACGGGCCCGATGACTCGTTCGAAGACAAGACTTCTCAACCAAGCCGTTAGCGGACTCCTTAGACACTTGGACCAGCGCACAAGCGGAGTTATCCAAACCACTTTGGTTTCGATAACAGCCCAAGACAATTGGTAATGGGCTAAGTGTTACTTGGGTACTCTTTTTCCCTTCTAAGGTTTTGTCCCAATGGGTTTTCCTTAGTAGGTTTTTAATGAGGCTTGAGTAACACTTCCAAAACCCCCATTATCAATTCGGCCCAGCCCATCCTAAAGAAGAAGAAGAATCTCGCAAATTTGAAGGCCAAGGGTCATATTTTGTGTTCAATTTTCGTTTTAATGCTTTAATTTGTTATTTCCGAGTTGTCTTGGAGCTTGTTCCAAGACTAACTCTTCCTCTTCTCCCTTCTCTACTTAAGTCACTTGTACTTCTTCTTTGAGGATCATCTAATCTTTTATCAAAAACTCTTTCAAGTTAGATCAATTCTCTTGTTCTTCTCTTTGGTGCGTAATATCCAACGACGAGATCAAGATCGGTAAATCAAAGGCCTTCCGCAACCTTTGTGCGACCATTCAATCCACTTCCTTTGCACCGAATGATCTTCCCATCATTTTGATGCAAAGCCTATCTCTTACTCAACCTCAAGAGTGCCGATCTTAGGATAATTCTATCACATGGACAATTTATTTTTCAGGACAAGCTACACGATGAAAGAGTAGCGAGGAACGCCCATAATCTCAAGTACAATAAGCAAAGAAAGAACTCCAATAATTACTAAAATAACTATATAAATATTTTTATTATATTAGAATTATAAAATAAACTCATATTCGTTTGCATTTAAACTATTCCACTAATCAAATGTATCGCAAAATAGTTGTCATTTATTATTTTTTACATAGTCTTAATATTTTTAAATATGTTATATATGTTATCTGAAATTATTATTATTTATTCTATCAAATGTTCTATTCTTTTATAATTGTTGAAATTTTGATAATTAATAAATTAAATTATAGAGATTTAGGCTTCGAATGGTGATATCATATTAGGCGGTAGAAAACAAGTAGTTCAAGTAGTGCGGTGCAGTTTAATTACGGTTTTCACATGGGAAACATACAGTGAGGAACAAGCAGAGTTTTTGCGGAAAAAACGGTGCAGAACAATGTTTAAATGGTGACAATCATAAGTGCGGTACAAATATATCGATTATTTAAACTTTCACTAACTATTTTTTAAGTTTCAAGGTAGAATGTAATTGTATAAAAAAACATTTAGAATTTTTTTTGAACTAAAGAAATTTAAAAATTAAGGCTCCGAATGGTGACAGTGGATCGGACGGTGCTGAAAAAACATAAAAAATTGTGCTATGCGGTTTAACTACGGTTTAATTGAGATAAACACTCTATATATGCCGAACAAGTGTGGTTGTTGCAGAAGTAGTAGTGCAGAATAATGTATGAATGGTGAAACTAACAAAATGTGGTGCCGGTATAATAGTTATTAAACTTTGATTAATTATTTTGAACAATTATAATTTCTGATTTTTTTATAACAAAAATGTGTTATTGGATAAAATTTATTTGTAAAAAAATTTCTGATTTTTCTGGAAAGTCCTGGAGAGGTGATGTTCTTCCTCTTTGCATAAGATTCAATATTAACAAACAAGAGATCATTCAAAATTTCTTACTCCCAAGAATTTTGAAGACGCCCAAAGCTGGTAGATACTTGATAATACATTTTTCTTTTGAAGCTGTCTTTTCGGGTGATTTTCGATGGGAACCATCTTTGTTTCCATACTTTCACAAGAACCATTTCTAACTCTTCATTGACATAAAACCAGTGAGGAAAGGACAAACAACTGTTAATAGAGTTGTTAGTAATTATGGGAGGTGGGTGTCACCTTCACATCAAGAGATCTTCATGATTACGATAACAAAATGGCCATTGGCCATGTCGAGAACTTTTTTCTTAGGAAAGACAAGCTTAAAACGGGCTGGTAAAATTTGAGTACAGTCGCTTCTCCATGGGCTCATTTGCAAAGATTATGGTTAGTCACCTGTTTTCGAACCTTAAACTCAGGAGTTCGCTCCTCGATCGGTCCAGCTCGCTCCTCCACCGGTCCAGCTCGCTCCTCAACCGGTCCATCTCGCTCCTCCACCGATCCAACTCGCTCCTCCATTGGACCACCTCGCTCTTCCACGGTCCACCTCGCTCTTCCTTCAAACAGATAGTTGGGGTTTATGATAACTTTGACTTTTACTTTAACTTAGCTGAATTTCAATGATATTGCTCCTTCTCCGAATCAGTTCGTGATCAATTCAAAAGTCTGGAGCAGAATCTATAAATAGAGAAAAATCGAGGGACTTAAGTGCAAAAACGGAAAAAAGAAGTGCAAATCGAGTTGATCTTTTCCGAAATCGAAGGGAGATTTTTTGGCAACTCTAATCTTTGTCTTTCAACCCCAATACCACTTATATATCTACATTTTGAAGCTCAAGCATTTAGAAGCCGATTTTCTTGTCAATTTGAGATTTTTGGTGAGTTTTCGAGACCCTTCATCATCATCTCTGATTTGAATAAGTTTTGGACAAATTGTGACCGAATTTTGTTGGGACTTAGGTTGATCTTGCTTCTCCTTATTAGTGCTTTAGTTCGGTGTTGTTTTTAGCTTTGGTAGGAGAGTTTGATAAGCTTCATATTTTTCCTTCATATTTGGTAAGAGAGTTTGGTAAGCTTCATCTTTGGTAGGACGGAGTTATATGGCGGGACGGGTTTGAATTAACATTATTAAAATTTTAAAATATCATTAACACGCCGCTTCAATACGGGTTAAATCCTCATTTTATTATTTATTAACACCACCAATATTAGACATATCAAATCAGCTTCATTTATATAAGATTATATAAAACAAAAATTGTCACTTGGTTACTTTATAACAATTGTAAACTATAAAATATAAATATCTTATAAAATAATACAATTAACAAAATTATATATATAATACATAATTATTAAATTTTAAAAATCACTCCTTTTAAAAAATAAATCCTCCTGCGGTACACCGCTGGTTAAAATCTAGACTTCATTATTCCTAAAATGTTTTTTCCCCAAAAAATGTGAATTTTGTAATTGAGTGCAAGACCAGCCCAAGGTCAGGCATATCGGTTTAGTCAACAACATGCGGGTTCCTCCCGTTAAACTGTTATGGGGAATGTGCGGATCAAATTAATTTACAATAAAAAAGTCAAGCGAGGCAAGCAAAATAGAATTATAGAGTTGGTGCGTGTAGATATTTTTTTGCGGGTTAATCGCAAATTTGCTTTTATTTTTAAATAAATATTAATTTTTAATATTTTATAAATTTTAGTAGTTAAGAATATAAAATAATTAATTTAGAAACTTATTTAGTTACGAGTTTTCTTTTTAGTTTAATTTTTAGATATGAATTTACATTTTTAATATTAAAATTTTAATGATAAAAATTATTTTTATTAAATTATATTATTTAATTTTTAATATGATATAAATATTTACGGGTTATCCAAAAATTCAAGTAGAGCAGATGCGGGTCAACTATATTTATTTTGCAAATTTGGCGTGGTGGGTTGGTGTAGGTCAAAAACTTATAAACCACTGCGGGACGAGTCGCAGTTTGGACATGCTTGACAGGCCTAGGCCTAAAGCAAAAAAAGAAAAAAGAAAAATGTAACTTATACTCTTGATGACTATAATGAAACTTAACCATTATATTAAGATAGTTGAACAAAAAAAAACCACATTAAGATAGAATTTTAAAATTTATGTTTTTAAAAATTAATGTAACCATATATGGCGGAGCTTGATTAAAATATAATAGAATTTTAATTCATATAAAATATATCTCACCAATTCTAGTTTTATAATGCATATATGGACAAACTTATAAAAATTTTGCCATATCTTTCTAATTTTCTCTTTATTCTATGTATCGACAAAAAAAAAATACAAATTAAAGTTAAATCTTAAAAAATTGCTTTTTATATTATTGTTCTTAACTTTGATAAAGTTGTCTCGTCGTATCTTCTCTCTCTTAAAATAAACTCTCTCCCTTTTCTCTAAAAACACTCGCAACCGCCGCCTAGTGTTATCGATTCTGGTGGCTTTTTCAGCACTGGAGCCGGGATCTTGTTTCTCATGCTCTAGTTTCGTTTTTCTTTCTTTATTGAGTTTTTTTCTTCCAACGGTTTCAGATCTAGATTTTCAGATCTAGATATATAAAGTCTAAATCTTTCTCCTTTGGGTTCTTGCGGCATGTCTTTTGTCTCCTCCAAGCTTCAAATATGGCCGATCCATCCATGGCAAAGGCACATGTTCTATCCGATCCTTCATCGTCTCAAACTTTGAAATTCCACTTTGAAGATCTCGATCTCCTTCTTCCTACAAGTGACTCACATTCCATCGGGTTTAGGTTGTGGTAAGGAGAGTCTTCTAGTCTCAGATCTGTTAATTATATTATTGATTTAGGCTTTGTATGTTTAATTTGAGTCTTTGGATTGTGAATCCGGGAAATATTCGATCGGATGTTACGTATTTGATTGTTTGAGTTTTTTCCCCTTTGTTTTCTCTTTAGTTTGATCTTTGTCTCGGGGAGTCTGGGTTTTTCCCTTGCCGGTTCTTGTATTCTATCTTTAAATTATTAATAAAATATATATTTATAGTGAAAAAAAAACCTTTGGTAAAAGTTGTAAGTTATAAAACAACTTGAGCATAAAAATAATGATTGAAATTAATGAGAGAACACAAAATAGAAAAAAGGTCATGAGAACAGAACAGAAACACTTGGGTTGGCTTTCGTGGGCTAAAGACGTGCACGCAGACACAACCCTACATCTCTCCTCTCTCTGTCTCTCACCAACTTTTTCTCTTTACCCACTGCACCTACCCCCAAACAATCCCTTTATACATCTCTCATTCCTCTGCAGATGATTCTCTGTCTCTTCCTCTGATTTCTCAATCCTCTGTTTTCTCCGTCTCCTCTGTTTTCTCCGTCTCCTCTGTTTTTTTTGTTTCACATCAATGGAGGCGTCATTGTTGATGAGATCGTCTTGTTGTTCCTCTGCGATTGGTGGGTTCTTCGACCATCGACGTGAATTATCAACCTCCACACCCATTTCCACTCTTCTTCCTTCTCCTTCATCTAAATCTTCCTTCGCTATTCGCTGTTCTCTTCCTCAGCCATCAAAGCCACGCTCTGGAACCAGCTCTGTTAACGCCGTTATGACACTTGCTGGGTACGAAAGTCTCAATTTTTAGATTCTAATTGAGAAATTATGATAACCCTTTGTGATTTTGTAGCTTAAATTAGAAACCTTTATGTTCTCTTTCATCGAATTTGAAGCAAAGTTTGGTTTTTTTTTTCTTGTTGTTGTTGATGTAGATCGTTGACAGGGAAGAAACGAGTAGATGAAAGTGAGAGTTTGACTCTTGAAGGTATCAGAAACTCGTTGATTCGTCAAGAGGATAGCATTATATTTGGGTTGTTGGAGAGAGCCAAGTACTGTTACAATGCTGATACTTATGATCCTACTGCTTTTGACATGGATGGTTTCAATGGTTCTTTGGTTGAGTACATGGTTAAAGGCACTGAGAAGCTTCATGCTAAGGTAACAAACACATGCTCTTTATTCACATGCCGTTAAAATTGAAACTTGATTTTGTTATGGAACTTGATTAGGTTGGTAGGTTCAAGAGTCCTGATGAACATCCTTTCTTCCCTGATGATCTACCAGAGCCTATGTTACCGCCTCTTCAGTATCCAAAGGTACTCAATTTACAAGTTTCACTTGAATCACATGAAAAAAGATCGTCTCTTTTGTGTTTTCTTGCGTCTTACTGTTATGGCTTCTCGATGTTCGGTGAAGCAATGTGTAATCTTGTTTGAGCTGTGTTTTCAACTTCTCTATGTGGTGCTAAGGCTTGAAGTTTCTTTCTTATCATGTAGGTGTTGCATTTTGCTGCTGATTCGATTAACATAAACAAGAAGATATGGAACATGTACTTCAGAGACCTTGTTCCAAGACTAGTGAAGAAAGGCGATGATGGTAATTATGGATCAACAGCGGTCTGTGACGCTATCTGCCTTCAGGTTCGTTCCTTTTTCCTTTTGTTTGGTATCAGAATTGGATCTTTGTTTAAAAACGTGTTACCTCTTTTATAAGTCGATTAACGTCTCATGTAGTTTTTGATGTCCATTGCAGTGTCTCTCAAAGAGGATCCATTACGGTAAATTTGTTGCAGAGGCCAAATTTCAAGCCTCACCCGAAGCATATGAGTCCGCCATCAAAGCACAAGTATTTATTCACTTCTCTAAAGTTTTCACATACACATATAAACTCAAAGTTTATGAATATTTCGTTGTTGTCTGTATATGCATTACTTTACCTTTTAACATGGCAACATACGCATTGCAGGATAAGGATGCACTAATGGATATGCTGACATTCCCGACTGTGGAAGATGCGATTAAGAAGAGAGTTGAGATGAAAACCCGAACATACGGGCAAGAAGTGAAAGTTGGGATGGAGGAGAAAGAAGAAGAAGAGGGAAATGAATCTCATGTTTACAAAATCAGTCCGATCTTAGTCGGTGACTTGTATGGTGATTGGATCATGCCCTTAACAAAGGAGGTTCAAGTGGAATACTTACTCAGAAGACTGGACTGAGACAAGAAAAAAAAAACAATAAGGCTTTGGTAGTAGAGTAGAAAGGTTTTTATTGAATGTTTTTTGGTTTTTTTAACTTTACAAAATCTCTGAACGTTATTACAATATTATTCCACTGTATAAAGCTTGCATGGCCAGTGGTATTGAAGAAGGGTAATTAGCCGTTACTCAAACGGTGTCGTTTATGTACATACTCTCAATTGTGTAAACAAATAAACAGAGTTTTAGTCGCTCAGATTTGTTTTGGTGATGTGTGTTTTTGTGTATTAGTGCCTGTACTAGAATGATAATTGGTTGTTTAGTGTATTTGTTGAAGTCGAGAAGTGACTCTAAGCTCTTAAATTTCAACCAAACGATGCACTAGTGGTAAAACTAAAAACGCTATTTTTCTTATGAATCTAATTTAACATTATTATTTTTTTTAAAAAGAAGTGACTCTAGCCTAGTGGTCACCATTGGTTGCCGTCTCTTCTCACTAGGCCGATCCGTTGTGATATTTGTCCCAATTCTCTCAAGACTAGCAAGTACCAAGCACAATGGAGTCATGTTTCATGCCTCTTACACGAAAAGGATTAGCTTTGTAATAGGATATCATGTTGTTTCTCTTTAACATAACAGAACTACATGCTGTCTTTGGAGGTGATATTAGGAAGGGAACTTACAAACGGCACGGAATGCGACTGTAGAAATGTTTTTTGTAAGATACATGCGATTTAGATTTTTTTGTTGGTTGGGTGACAAAAGTTGGGAGGCAAAGGAAATTTTTTTTTTTTTTTACTATGATGTGATGTAAAACATCTTTGGACAATTTAGTTCTTCTATTTAATTGTTTTTTTGGAAAGATGAATTTTTTTCCTCAACATGTTTTTTTTTTGTAAACGTCTAATTTGCGAAATAAACAATGCTTTTATCCCGTACTATATATATATATATATATATATATATATATAATTATTTGTTAAAATTCTATATTATAATAATGGTTTATCCCGTACTAATGATGCGCTACGGAATAAAGATTTTATAATAATGCTTTTTTTGTAAACGTCTATATATATATTTTTTAATTTTTTCCGTAATAATCCTATAATTTATAAAATCTTTATTCCTATATATATTTATGGAAGTATATTTAATATTTGTATATGTTTGGTTATTGATTTTTAATTTTGTTATTGTTAATAAATTGTATATAGTTATTTGTTAGTATATACATGTTCGGTTTGGTACACCAAAATGTTATCGTAGCGTATTTTAAAGGTTTTACAAGTTTTTACAAGTGTTTGGCGGGAAAAATTACGGGATCACTTTTCCCGCCAAAAAATATTTTGTATTTTGTGGACCTAATTTTGTTATATTTCCTTATATATTTGTGATATCTTTTTATTAAAAGAAGGGTAATTTAGTCATTTTTACATTAAAAATGGTATTTTTAAAAATGGACAGCCAAAGGGGGCATTTTTGAAAAGGGGTATTGAAAAAGGGGCATTTTTGTGAGTCTCCCATGATATTATTATATATATTCTAATAACAAAAATTTTACATTTTTCTTTTCTGCATATGTTTTTTCTTTAAGTTTACATTTTTCTCGTTTCCATAGATATTGTTTTTTTGTACTTTTTTATAAGTATCTTAATTTATATTGATATTATTTTATATATTCTAATAATCAAATTTTCATTTTTTGTTTTCCCATATTTTGTTTTTAAGTTTAAATTTTTCTTGTTTCCTTATATATATATATATTATATTTTTCTTTTAATAAGTATCTTAATATAGAAAATTATTGGAATCTAAAATTGCTAATTACCGAGATGGCTTATCGTGATTAGTTTTTTAAAATTTTGTGGACAGTTTCCGAAGCTTATAGCTTCGAATTTTAAAATTCTATAAAGTGAAAATATATAATTTGTATATTTGTTCTTTTGCCTTAATACATTAATTTGTATTTCTATGCTTTTAATTTATTTTAACGTTTATTATAACAATCTAGTAAACTTAAATTATCATTCACCAAACTTTTGTCAATATTTATCATTATTATTATTGCCAAAACGTAGTTTTGCATTCTCGTCAAAAATAATTTAACGACTTTCTTAGACGGTCTTTTAGATGCAAACCACATGTTAAATCTTGATCGCATTTACATCTATTAACAAATTTACTATTTACTTTAATACTAATTTTTTTTTTCATCCAATTATTTTTTAATGTTGAAGTATACTCTTTACTACTATATACAAAATGTCTTTATGAATGCATTAATCCAAATATATGTAAGAAAGTATTTATATCATCTAATAGTGTGTTCTCTTTGTTAATAGCTTCTGAAATTTATGATCGAAGACTTTGTAGTTCTTATTGCAATCTTACACATTAAAGTTGCAAATTTCAATAAGACTTTCTTCACATAATTGAGCTCCAAACTTTTCAATTAGAAAATGATGTACAGAGCCTTGGAATAGTATTTTTGTGTTTTGAAATTAATTAAAATTTAGATAAATAAATAGGGTAATATTTAGGTTTTAAGACAAAAAATACATTTTCATCAAGTAAGATAAACTTATTTATGTGAGCTCATTATTTATTAAATTTTTTTATATAAAATATAGTTGCCTTATAATTTATTTTCTTCTATTTCTATTTTTATTTAATAAGATACATATAGATATATATATCCGCTCCATATATATCAAGATTTCTTCTATACGAGTGTTGCAAGTTAAAAAAAAAAGTGTTGCAATTTGCAACCTAGTTGCAACTCTTGTGTTTGCTGAATTTTTTTCACAAATTCCAACACGCATTCCAATTACAACAACCAACCAATAATCAAAATATGAAAATTTTATCATGTTGCAAACAAAATGACAAAGTGCCAAGACCAGTTTAAAAGTCATGAGTCAACCGGTCCCATGAATATCAACCACATCAACGTCTCAAACCACCCAATTCTGTGTAGCACTCCGGTTACGTCACAAAATGACGTAACCGTATTCCTCCTAGGTGGCACTCCCCCATTGGTTCTTAAATAATTCCCGCCGTTTCTACTCCTTAGCTTCATCTTTAAACCTTTGCACAAAAAAAAAAGAAAAAAAAAAGCTTCATCTTTAAACCTTCTTTCACCGGCTCCCACTCTCCCGCCGGCTCATCAGCCCGGATCCTCCTCGACTGCACCACCTTATGCCCCGTCACCCCCAACAAAAACCGCTCATTCGACGCCGTCAAGTATACCCCGTGGCAGCTCTTTAACCGGATCGGATTTTTCTGAAGATGTTCTAGAAACCGGAGGATACGAGTACGACTTCCACCCATGTGGTGGAGGAGTTGTCACCGGAGGTGGAGGTGGAGCTGGAATTGGAACTGGAACTGGAGCTGGAAGTGGAGCCGGATCCGCCGTTCCCACCAAAATTTCAATCACATCAACATCCCACAAGAAGGAGTCCGATACATGAGGAGTGCCATGAGTAACGGAGTTACGCCACGGAGGAAGTCCACCGTTGGCTCGAAGCAAGTTGCCGTATTTAGTCTTGAGCTTCAGTTTGGAACCTTCTCTCACCGGTTCCCACTCAACAGACGAGTCGAGTCGAGCCGGTTTAGACAAGACCACTTTACGCCCAGTGGCGCCGAGCAAGAACCGTTCGTTTGAAGCGGTGAGATAGTTTCCGTAGCAACTCCTCAAACGGATAACCTGAAAGGAACCACGAACCGGCTCGACAATCCATCTAGCTCTCTTGTCGGAACCATCCCTGTCTTGAGTCACCTTTTCGTCGTCCTCGTCCGCCGTTAGATGTTATTTTTGTCGATAATATTTAAAATCTAAGTAATAACATATATATTTTATTGATCTTATATAATTCTCTTAAATCGGATTTGAACATCACATATTCCATTTTCCAATACAATTTAACTATCTATACCATCATAATAAACCATATTTTAATTTACGCACATAATGGATTAGAGCTAAAAAATTATATCAAACACAATTTATACATAATATCAAATCTATATCTTAGTTAAAATCAAAAATAATTTAGAAATTAACAAAACAAAATTATTAAAAAAGTAAAATATAATTCACAATTTTTTTTGGAAATCCAACATTTTCTTAATCAAGTAATCGAAAGTTCATTTCTATAACCTCATTTTGTTCCAAATATTTTGATATATGCATTAAAATCTATATAAAAAAAACTATACTAATATTTTCATGAAGTATTCAAAAATTCATTATTATATAAGCTCATTATTATTTTCAATTTTTTGTGAGTTTTACTTACAAATAAAAAATAATATATTACAAAACAAATACATTTTGTATCCAATTAAACTAATATTAAATAATGTTTTAATTGTGAACTTCATCATTCATTATTGATTGGTTAATATCTATGCTAAATCAAATGTTCTTTGATATATATCAAAATCTAATTGAGAACACACGTAAAATTAGCATATGCAAATATATATTTATTTTTGTTATGTTTTAAGAAAAAATAATTTTCTTATTTTGTTAAGGAAACGAAGTTTTAAAAACAATTGACATTTGTCAACATCTAATCGAGATACTTGATCATATGAATATTCTTAAATCCGTAAATGAAATAAAAATAAAAGTTTAGAAAAATAAAATAAAATTACCGATGAATTATATCTATTACATATTTCAAAGAAAACTTTTTTTGAACAAAAAATATTGTTACGTACTTAATTACATGATATGTCATTAGATATTTTTTTGTGAATACTAACATTTAAATTTCTTTCTCATAAGATTTTAAAAATTAAAACTATAAACACAATTGAAAACAAAATTTATAACATATCTTGACAAATATTTAATAATTTTAAAAAATTTTAAATTGCTAATTGTTTTTTAAATATATAATATATGGAAGAAATATTTCTTTACATTTTATTTAAATCTAACTATATATTTTAGATTTGGAATTTTTCATATTTATGTTAACATAATGTCAAATTCTAATTGGTTGTAATTTTTTACAGGTGTCAAAATCTTATCGAGATACTTGACACGTGTCGCAACCATATGAGTTATTAACTTTGAAAACCATACTTTATACAATAAGATACTAGATAACGCCGCAAGGATGTGTGAAATAAATATAATTTTTTTATAACAATTGAATTTTAAATAGTAATATAGATATTTAATCTAATTTTTAATCAGATTTCAATTAGACACATTCTTTTTTTTGCATTACAATTTAACTTTTTATTTCATGATAATAAACTGTTTCATTCTACACACTCCATCTTCTTGTTTTAGTTTTTTTCTTTTGATATTTCAATTTTAAATATATATCCAGTCATTTTTTCTATATTAATGTTCTAACTCTCATCTCAATTTATCACTCTATCTAAATATTTTTAAATCATGTAAGTTAATTTTTTCTTAAACTAAATTATTACTATAATGTTAGTTAAACTTTAGATATTAATAACTTGTCCTAAACGTCTTACTCGAACATGATTATTATTAATTCTCATTCATCTTTGATACAATTGAGTTTTTTCCATCATAATCTTTATCTATGCATCTCAACATTTTATGTATTTTGTTGAAATATATATTTTATAGTCCTCTTAACAAAAAAAAAAAAATCGACAAAATATACAAAAAACATATTTGAACGGGTCTCTATTTTTCCCCCTGAAGAACACTCACACCGGACTTCGTTGATGGCAAGAGAGCTTCCTCTTGGATCGTCAGATGCGCCATGTCCGGTGGAGTCGTCGATGGCGCACGGCGGTTCCTTCTTCTGGGCTGAGAAATCATGGCTTTCCGATCGCACTCTACTGGGAAAAATGGTGAGTCGTCTCACCCATTATATCGGCTTATTCAGATCCGCTCCTAAGACCGCTCTCTCAAGATCTCTTCTCTCGTATCCGGTGACGGCCTCCATCTCCGATCATACGCCTCTGGCGATGTCAAGTCGGGATCGTGAGCAGCCGCTCAGTCCGTCGAAACATCAGCAAGCACAAGGCAAAACTCTAATTGTCAAGATGGGCCTTTTCTTTGTGATAGGCCTACCTTCTTTTGGCCCACTAAGCTATCTCCTACGACCCAAGAGTATTTGTACGATTCTCATCTTACCATCTACTAGACCCAGGTATATCCCAATTATCTTTTTGTCAAGCCCTAATATATTGATGTCTCTTGTTGAGAATGGTCGAGGGCTCCACCCTCACATCGGATCGAAACAAATAATTAGGATCGACAAATAAAATCCTTTAATCTTGATGGAAGATAAGTTTAGAGTTTTAGAGAAAATCACTGAACCCTTTTATCCCCCTAAGAAACCTTTGCAACCATCCTCTTCAATAGAGAGAACTATTGCTAGACCTTCAACCTCTTTGCGGAGAAACCGTGTTGGTTTCCTAATCTTCTTTTTAGAAGCGACGTGCATTGAGTCGATATCACCCAAGGTCAAGGAATTTTTAACATCACGAGCCCTTTATGGAAATGTGATCATTCAACAATGTCCCGAAATCCTCGTGGAATTGTCTTCGACTCACCACTCTATCGTTTGTGGCAAGCTACTATATTGTTCTTGTCTCCGATGTTTGGACCTTTCGTCGAATTACTCTATCTATGTTATCTACCAATCGCTTGTAAGAGTACTAGATGCTATCTTTGTTGTATCCAACGATGAGGTTGATGTTTACTTAATATTTGTACTTGCTATGGCTTGAATGAATGAAATATGTTTTGTCCAAAAAAAAAAGGGTCTCTATTTCAAAAATCATGTTATATTATGAATTATCTGTAATTGTAGTTATCCTTGTTCTAAACTAATAAGATAAACTTATGACTATTTCCTTAATTATTTTTGAGACATATGTTAGTTACTTATATGATACTAAAAATACTTCATGACCAATAAAAAGAAAAAGCTTTAATAATAGAAAGAAGTTAAAGCAATAGTGGTGTGTGAAGAAATTAGTTTGGTTGGTGAAAAAATATGATACAATAGGTATTTGTTTATATGTGATTATTTACAATCCTTTTTCTAAAAGGATTAATAACTAATTGTCTATCTTCCTTAATTCGTTTTCTATTTTAAATCCTTTTTCTTGTCTAATTTATAAATAAAGCATTTAGCATTATTTTATAATTTGATTTTTATGGAGAATATACATATATTTCCCTTATATATACATATAGTTTCCTTATTATAATCTTTTTATATTTTTAAAACTGTTTCAAATTGTAATTTTGTTATAATTACATTTTAACAATTTTTAAGTCGTTAAAAAAAAAAAATTGTTTACCACATGGTCAAATCTCAGATACATTTTAAAACTGTTTACATTTATAATTTTCCGTGTAATTATCGTTTTACCTTTTTAATTATTAAAAAGAAAAAATTTGTTTGATAAATGACAAAATCTCAGATCGATGGATTTAAAACGTGTCACGATTACGTGAGTTGCTAACTTTGAAAATCGTACTTTATATAATAAGATCTATACATATAATTTACCTATAATTTTTTTTTCTAAATAAAAGGAAATTCTTGATATAAATTTGAGTTTGAGTTTGAGTTTACCGACAATTTGATATAAATTTCAATCCGGTTCGGTTTTAGTTCTACCACACTGACTAATGTCGTTTGTTGATAAGATACATTCAATCACTCACTCACTCAGAGGTCCTCAATGGCTGTTACTTCCTTCACTTGCCCACTTCCTTTTGCTCCACTAACCAAATCGCTCAGACCCATTCGATCCCCAATTCTACGCTCGGGTTATGGAACCAGAAAAGTTGGTACAAGATCCATGCCGGTTCAAGAAGATGACAAAAGAACAACCGATGAATCAATGAGCATTGATAATTTACGAGGATTTGTCGATCTTAATGTCGGAAAATGGACTGGTTCCTTTCATGTATAGTGTCCAAAACCCTAAATTTTGCTCTTTTTATTAGATTTATGTTCAAAGTTCTGTCTTTTATTTTTGCAGCAATTTGATGCTGATGGGAATTTGTTGCGTAAGATTGATACGCGACTTTCAGCTAGTTCTTATGGAGAAGATGAGCTTCTTAGTCTTAATCAATCGTATGATTACTTTTTTCTTGATTCATGATTTTCTAAGAATCTGTGTTCCTGCTTTTGATGGAAAGAATAAGTGTTTTTGGAACAAGAAAGGTGTGTAGTTGAAGATTCAATTATCTTTAGGAATCAATTGATGGAAAATTTGGCAATAGAAATTTGGCAATTGATGGAAAATTAGGCGGGAAATTTCATTTTTGTCATTTTCTTGACTTAATTATTTTTAAATAGGAGTAAATTGGTCATTAAAAATTAAAAAATGGCACAAAAATAAAAATGACTAGGAAAAGAGATACTTTTGAAAAGGGGTTTTTAAAAAAAGGTACTTCTAACAATTTTCCAATATTTAAAGTGGTTTTGCCAATGACTTTTCATGTAAATGTCTTATTTGTGGAAGTCCACTTTAACATTTTGTTTATGAATTTAATATACAAAAGATTTGAAGAGTCTCAAATATAAGTATAGTAGAAGTTTAAATATTAAAATCATTTTCTGAAATATTAAATGTTAGCAAGTTATTTATTCATGATTGAATATTATACCAAGTAGTTCAATCTGAATTTTGGTTAACATTTTGGTTATTACTGGATATATAAAGGAATTGGTATTTATTAAAATTTCTGTTTTCTATTTTAGGGATAATTAAGAGATATTTAGAAAATAATATATATCTCCCTAAATATATAATAGAATTTGGGATAACAACTCTTTCGGGGGTTTTCTAATTACTTCAAATTGGCCTTGTCGGCAAAGAGAGATCCGTTTAATGACTTGGGTTTTGGAAATACAAAGTTACACGTTGACATGTAAACTGATATCATGTGTATTATTTGTTTTAATTTAATTTGTGTACAAAAAGGTTATTGTGCCAAACAAGAGAGATTTCATTTTTTTTACTGTATTCTCTCTATTTTTTAGACAATGTTTTAAGCTTTTATTTTTGTTCTTAAATAGATGATGTTTTTCTGTTTTCAATACAATATTAATTAATCGTTTTTTTGTTTTGATAATTTATATAATACAGATTGTTTTTCTATTGGTTGATTAGATAATAAATGCTGTTTTAATTTAGAAATAATAAAAAAATAATTTCTTAATCTGTATGCATTTTTTTAGAACATCAAATAAATAAAAACAGAGGGAGTATAAGTTACTATTAAATTTTAGTTAAAATATTTTATAATACTCAAAAGAGTAGTCTTTTTAAGAAAACTAAAGGGGTGTATTTTTCAAAAATCAAAAAGAATTTAAGATATTTCCCAAAATATTTCTATAGAGAAACACATGCATCTCATCTCATCCATGGTTTTTACTCTAATTTTATGAAGATATTTGCATGTTGGAGCTAATTAAGAACAATATCTAATTTTGTTCCAACCTACAAAACCAAATTTAAGATTTTGTGTTTTCCCGGGTAACTTTTCTTTTTCTCCATCTATTGGATTATATCTAAACTCAATGCTTTAGGCTGTTGTTTTAATTTTGTTTGAAACTTATTTTTCATATATCGACTAACCATTCTTTTTATTTTCTAGAATTTTAATAGAGTGGTAGTGTTGATTCTATCTTTTCACCTATTAGCATCTCTAAATATTAAGGTTCTTCAACCAAAAAAATAAGTTAATATGCACATAATTTGTAAATGGAATCGAATTCAAGATTAAAACTATGGTTTATATTTTGGTTACCAAAGATACGTCATTCTTTTGATCCCAAACTTTTTTTTTGTGTCAACTTCTATGCTACTTTGGTTTGGTAACCCGAAACCAAACCGGAAACCAATTTTTTTTTTTGTTATTTTTCTTTTGGTCCCAAATTTGTCTAAAACTTTCTATCCCAAATTTTTCGCTCTCTCGTTTCGGAAATTCCAATGACGAAGAAGCAATCTCAGCCTTCGAAGAGACAAATTGAAGAAGATCCATCAACGGAGGTGGAGGTGAAACGTGCCAAGATGGAGAATGGAACAGAGACGGAGAACAAACCGATTTTTCAGAGGATAAAAAGTTTCGTTCCCAAATTTGTCTCTTTCGTTTCGGAAATCTACTTACCGGAATCTTCCACTCACGACGAAGAAGAAGAAGAAGAAGAAGAAAAAGATTTAGTCTCCGAATCCGAGACTCACTCTAGTGAGTCTGACTCTGAAATTGAGCCAGCTGCGACCAAAACAACTCCTCTTGCTGCTATGGCGAAGAATCCAATGTTTCAGAGATTGTGGAGTGAAAAAGACGAGATCATGTTACTTGAAGGGATGATTGACTTCTGTAGGGATACATGTACGAGTGTTTATGATGACATGAATGGGTTTTTTGAAAAGCATAAGGATTCAATTAGTTTTGACGTGAAGAGTGTGAATCAATTCGTGAAGAAAATTTGGTCTTTGAAGAACAAGTATTTCCTGAAAATGAGAAGTCGTGTCTCTACTAACATTCATGTAAATTGATCTGTGTACAAAAAGGTTATTGTGCCAAACAAGAGAGATTTCATTTTTTTACTGTATTCTCTCTATTTTTTAGACAATGTTTTAAGCTTTTATTTTTGTTCTTAAATAGATTATGTTTTTCTGTTTTCAATACAATATTAATTAATCGTTTATTTGTTTTGATAATTTATGTAATGCATAATTTTTTCTATTGGTTGATTAGATAATAAATGCTGTTTTAGTTTAGAAATAATAATAATAAAAATTTCTTAATCTGTATGGATTTTTTTAGAACATCAAATAAATAAAAACAGAGGGAGTATAAGTTACTATTAAATTTTAGTTAAAATATTTTATAATACTCAAAAGAGTAGTCTTTTTAAGAAAACTAAAGGGGTGTATTTTTCAAAAATCAAAAAGAATTTTAGATATTTCCCAAAATATTTCTATAGAGAAACACATGCATTTCATCTCATCCATGGTTTTTACTCTAATTTTATGAAGATATTTGCATGTTGGAGCCAATTAAGAACAATATCTAATTTTGGTCCAACCTACAAAACCAAATTTAAGATTTAGTGTTTTTCCGGGTAACTTTTCTTTTTCTCCATCTATTGGACTATATCTTTGAACTCAACGCCTTAGGCTGTTGTTTTAATTTTGTTTGAAACATATTTTTCATATATCGACTAACCATTCTTTTTATTTTCTAGGATTCTAATAGAGTGGTAGTGTTGATTCTATCTTTTCACCTATTCGCTTCTTTAAATATTAAGGTTCTTCAACCAAAAAAAAAAGTTAATATGCACATAATTTGTAAATGGAATCGAATTCAAGATTAAACCTATGGTTTATATTTTGGTTACCAAAGATACGTCATTCTTTTGATGCGATAAAATATATCTTTGGGTGGTTCAGATATTCTGACACTAATATTGATAACTCTGGTGTCTCTCACAACAAATCGTAGAGCAAAGAAAAACGGCCAATTCCCCCCCAAACTTAGTTACTTTATCGGATTCATACACATAACTTTGAGTTGTGCTTATAACTACGTGAACTTAACTAAATTTTGAATTTCCAAATCCAGTCAAAACCATCAAATCGACAAACGGTGTTAAGTATTCCGTTAACTGATGCTGACTAGGATGCCACGTAAGCGTCGTTACATTTAAATTATAAAAAAAATCCATGGGACGGGATTTGAACCCATGACCTTTGCTAAGGATAAGTAAGCTCATAACCATTTATGCTAACACAATTTTCGTCGTACATTATAACATGTATATATATATATACCCAAACAAAAAAAGGTCAATTTGTCTTCTGTCTTCCATTCACCTACGTTCAATTTAAGCATTGTTTCATTCTTCTTCTGTCATATAGAAGATTCATCTCTCCAACGAATGATGATTTTGAATTTGAAAACAATCTCCTTCATAATTTTGAATTAGATTTCTGAAATTCACCTAATTTGTCTCTTAGACTCCTTCACCAATTTGTTCTCAAACCATCATCAACTCCTTAATCAATTCCGCCGCAATCTCTATTTTTTGGGCTTTCTCATCTAATTTTGTGGGTAAATTCTGGGTTTACTTTCAAGTTATTAATTGAGTGGCCGAAGAACAAGATGATATTTCTTTACTTCTTTTTCTTTTTTAGGGTTTGTTAAATTAATTTGGTTCGTTTGCTAATATTATTTTGTTTTTTTCTTTTCGTTTTTTACGATCAATTTTACATTAAATTGATTCGGAAACGATGAATTGGATGGATAATATGAGTTGAGTAAAATTGAACATATTAGTTTTTGATCCTACCAAAAAAAAAAACATATTAGTTTTTGAGATCTGTATGCGTTATATATATATCTGCGTCTGTTACATGTATAATGAAAATTGTGATAGCATAACTGGTATTGAGCCTAGCCCTTAGCAAGGGTCCTGGGTTCGAATCTCGTCCCATGGATTTTTTTTATAATTTAAATGAAACGCTTACGTGGCATCCTAGTCAGCATCAGTTAACGGAATACTAACACCGTTTGTCGATTTGATGGTTTTGACCGGATTTGGAATGTTCGTGTAGGAAATTCAAAATTTAGTTAAGTTCACGTAGTTATAAGCACAACTCAAAGTTATGTGTATGAATCCGATAAAGTAACTAAGTTTGGGGGGGGAATTGGCCGTTTTCCCGTGTTAAAACCATTCAACCCATTTTGAATTTTGTGTTTAGAGAATTCTAATAGTTTCTTGCTTTGTAAAAGATGATTTTATGATGTGATCGATGTTAATATAGAGAAAAAAAATGCTAGGTATATTCCAGTTAAATTCTTGTTGTAGATTTTATTCCATATAAAACTAGTTTAAAAATATACTAAGAATTATTCTAGTTTCGTAAAGAACCAGTTTCAAATCTTGTGAAGATGTTTAACAAATACTCGACTAATTTCATAGACAAATATAATTATGTTTTATTAAAAACAAAATAAATCACTACAAATTGATTGACATATTTTTTTAGTTACAATTTGTTTCTCAACCATTTTTCTTGTTAATGCATTTTAAAAATATTTGAAAAGCCTAAAAAGATAAAGATGAACTGAACTTATTAATTAATATCATACACGAAAAACATATTCAAATATCTCTCTTTTTCAATTCATCATAAATTTAACTAATCAAAACTCAAAATTATTTGAGATTTAGAGATCTATCTCATAGATATTGTAACATCATATTTATATGGATCAGTAAAAGCTGATATTTCTGTATGAGAATTGGATTTAATATGTCTAAAGTCTTAAACTCTAAACCTATAGGCAAAGAGTTAGGTACAATAAAATTGCAAATATCATTACTGTAAAACCTTTCTAAATTAATATTTATCGGAACTGTGATATTCTAATAAATTATAGAAACATTAATTTATCGATAAATTATTAAATATTAATTTATAGAGAGAATTGGCTAATTTCATAATTTTTCAAAAAAAAAATCTGTCTGAAAAGATTTCTTTTATTCATTATAACGAATATCTTTGTAATACCAATTCCAAGTAAAATGTATTTATTTTAACATTTTAATAAAAATTCTATTAATTCAATTATATTCTACAAAATTCCGGTTGAGTTTAAATTCGGTTCGCATTTGGTTCCGACAATTTGATATAAATTTCAATCCGGTTCGGTTTTATTCCCAGTTCTATCGTTTGTTGATAAGATACACTCACAAAAAAAAAAAAAAAACGAATCTTCCACTCAGAGGTCCTCCATGGCTACTACTTCCTTCACTTGTTCACTTCCATTTTCTCCACTAACCAAATCTCTCAGACCCATTCGTTCCCCAATTCTACGCTCGGGCTATGGAACCAGAAGCTTAGTTATAAGATCCATGGCGGTTCAAGAAGATGACAAGAGAACAACCGATGAAGCAATGAGCATTGATAATTTACGAGGATTTGTTGATCTTAATGTCGGAAAATGGACTGGCTCCTTTCATGTATAGTGACCTAAACCCTAAATTTTGCTCTTTTTATGAAATTTATGTTAAAGGCTCTCTCTTTTTGTTTTTGCAGCAATTTGATGGTGATGGGAATTTGTTGCATAAGATTGATACACGTCTTTCAGCTAGTTCTTATGGAGAAGATGAGCTTCTTAGTCTTAATCAATCGTATGATTACTTTTTTCTTGATTCATGAATTTTTCAGAGAATTTGTGTTTCTTCTGCTTTTGATGGAAAATAAGGGTTTTTGGAACATGAAATGTGTGTAATTGAGGATTCAATTATCTTTAGGAATCAATTGATGGAGAATTTGGTAATAGAAAGTGTATAAAGTTCTGAACTTTTAATGATTATTCTATGAATTTGAAGTTTTTCTTGTTTACTATATGTTGATTTTGTGTGATGCAATGGTTTTTGCTCTGTACAAGTACAACCAGTTTACTAATCTGCATTGTGTTTTTACTATAGTAATTGTGTGTCCTCACACAGTTTATTCATGTATTTTGATGTTATATGGTATTATTCTATGATCTGGAGCAACTCTGAAGTTTGTTTTTGTATATTATATCCTGGAAGCAATGGGTTTTGCTCTGCATTACCAGTTTTGTAATATGTGTTGTGTTTGTATTGTTTAGGTTATATATAAAGCAGCCTACATCAGCTACTTCAGTTTCTGAAGAAGATGAGGAGGAACCGGACTGGGTTGAATACAAAATTAAAGAAACCAATATGTTCACTGTGGACAAATATCAGCAGGTGAGTTACTTTCTTATCTGAATCAAGATACTAAGTTCAAGTATGTGGTTTTTCTCTAAGGATTTGATGACTATCTTGATATCCATCATCAGTAGTCTGCAGATTGGATTTTTCCCAAAGGAGAGAGCGTTTTCACTGAGGTATCAAACCGCTGGAATGTTGGATACGACATTAAGGCAAGGCGTGCTTGGGGAAGACGACACTGGCGAAGAATCACCAAGGTTGGTTTCTCATGCCCATTGGCTCTTCTTCTATATAAACATTTTTATGCTCAGTGAAGCTTATAACAATTTGTTTTCAGAAATCTTAAACTTCCATCTCGGCGTCCTTCTTTAGTATGTGAGAACTGTTTGTATTCTAAGGAGATGGATAGAAGGGCTAGAGCCTTTCACATCATGGATCCCAAAGGTGTTCTTGAAATGCTTATTGTTTTCCTCGAGGAAAGAGGGTTAGAGAATCTCACTCATCCAGTCCTCGATAACGCTCAAGTAAGTTTTTGTTGTTGATTCATGTTCATAAAGCATCAGTCATGATTGCATTTCACTACCATACCAATATATGTTTCCCTTTGTTGCAGAATGATGCAGAAAGGATTATCCCATTTCTCGGTACTTGGAAAGGTCGTTCAGTAACAAAACGAAGTGGTGTCTATGGAGCAACACTATCCGAAGCCGATATTGTTGCTGTTCTTGAAATAAATGACAAAGGTCAAGTAGTCCAGGTATACAATATTGTTGAAAACTCCCACATAGCCTTTTATTAGCTTCTTGTTATATGAGAATGTCTCTGACCTTGATCTTAATCAGGATGTTTCCTCAACATCGGATGAGAAAAAAGTAACAACAAATGTACACTGGGAGGGGAAAATGTCGAATAACTTGGTTACATTCGCGGAAGGATACCAAATGACTCTATTACCAGGAGGTATGTATATGGGATGTCCGTGTGACGTAGCAAAGTGTGTTGCGGACCTAAAGTCGTTTCACTTAGAATTCTGCTGGCTTGAATCACCAAGCTCAAGACAGAGACTCGTCCGCACATATGACCATGAGGGATTGGCTGTCTCATCAACTTATTTTTCTGAGACGAAAATGTGAGAGCAACACTATGATAATCTTATGTTCTTGTACTGTTATTCCTCTATGTAATGTTGCAAATATACTTTTGATCTCACATCATTTGACTTGAAATTTAGATAATGATATAGCTAGATTGTTGAAAAGTTGGGCTTTGCCAAGACATCTAAACAAATTAAGACAAGCCAACTAATCCACATTAATCAATATCACAACTAATTTTGATTGATTTGCCTCCACAACTTTTAAGGTTACAAGCTGGACTCGTGGGTTTTATTCAACAAACTCTTTAAGACCCAACCAATTCTGTTATTTCATCGTAAGTTCGTAACTTGGATGTCAAAATTCTTGTCTCTTGAGATGGTTCTGCTCATAAGACATAAGAAGTTTAAAGTTCAGGTCTCTTTCTCTTTGTATAGTAAAAAGCAGACCCATAAAATTCCTGATTTATTGATTTTGTAATGTTCTGCTGAATAATTACATTACACTAAAGTTAATTAATGAACAATAAACATATGATTCTTTCGTGTTTAAATTCTTTGTAATCTTGTTCTACATGAATATCTTCACTGCATATCCATTTCAGATTGATGAACTTTTTGCAAAGTATCAACTGATTAAATTGATATTCAGAACAATAAATAACCGAGATTTAACCAGAGATAACCGGAAAATAACCAAATCAGTCATAATTTGGGACAACAATAAGATCGGCGAACCGGTAAACAAAATTGACCAGAAACTAGTAAACTACTTATCATTTTGAATAAAAGTTGGGACTTTCCCTAATCTAATCTAATCATAAACTTCAAGAGACTCGTAACACAAGAACAGAAAATGAAGATCTACAGGATTTGAAGAAACCAAAACCAAAATGAAGATCGAAAAACAATAAAAAAATGTAGGGCAAAAACCTCTCTGCTTTGGCAGCCCAAAGCTTCAAGGAAACAGCAAAGCAGAGAAAGAGGCCCAGATTGTCTGATATGCGCCTACGCACCCGTTAGGGTACGCCACAGTAATCCCTTCTCGTGGTATACCACGCCACCCCTCACTAAAGAGGGAAGCGCTCGGCCTCAGGCACTAATTTGCAGCTTCTTCTTCTAGGGTTTTTGTTAATATATACTAAACCATCTTTCTCTTATTTCTGAATCTACCCCTTTATTTTTCTATTTTTACATTTTGACCCATATACGTGTTTCATCTTTCAATGTTACACCTCTATAAAGTAATAAATTATAATCTCAACACTAACAAGATAAAAGAAACAAGGTCAGCGCTAATTTTGCTTCTTCTTCTAGGATTTCTTTTACCCATGTACACCCTCTTTTTCGCTCATTTCCGAATCCACCTCTCTATTTTTCTCTTTTTACATTTTGACCCATGTACTTTTTTCTTCTTTCAATATTCACCCCTAGATACTCTTATCTCAACCCCAATACTAAAAGAGTAAAAGTTAGGAAGAAACATAAAAAAAAGAAAGAAGATGGAACTTGACAATCGGGATGTTCAATCCGGACAGTCCCGGCCCAAAACAAAATAAGGGGTTTTTGTGCAAAAAAGTTTCGGTCTTTTATTATTACAAAATATATTTTCATTATTTTAAATAATGTTTTGGAATTTGATTATAAAAACATATTATTTTAAAATTTTGGGCTTTCAGATTTTTTTAAAATTTAAATTTGGGCTTTGTAAATCTAATTTTTGGGTTATGTATCTAATTTTTTGAAATAAATATTAGCAATTTTTTTGTGTATATTTTTTGAAACCTAACACAAAGACAAACTGAAGTAATACGACAACAAGCTATTCTTCTTATAATAGAACTAGATAAGGAACCGCTCAATGTGCGGGTTTTTTTTTTTAAAATTAAACTTAAATTGACAAAAAAAAAGATATTAAAATTTTGTTGTTGGTTGGTCTTAAATTGACAAATTATTTTTTCAATTCATTGCAAGATGTATACGTATAATTTCCTTATAATTTTATTTTTCTAAATAAATAAAAAGAAAAATTTGTTTTACACGTGTTAAAATCTGAGTTTGATAAATTTGACATGTGCTTATAATTTCCATATAATTTTTTAAGAATATTAAATAAAAAGAAATTTTTTATTTACACGTGTCAAAATCTGAGATAAATAAATTTGACACGTGGTACGATTCTATGAGTTACTAACTTTGAAAATCATACTCTATATAATAAAGATTAGATTACTTCACAATGAACGAATTTATAGACAACCAAACCGGTAAGACATGATCCAGGTCGAAGACATCATGATCCACACATTTCTCTCGGATACCGTGAAGTTGAAAATAACACCGACAAATTATTGCTTCGAAAAAAGCCTTTAAACATATCAGATCTTAATCTAACCTGACCAAAATATACATATTAGGCTTCTTCTTGTTTTACACTTTAAAAAATGAAAAGCCAACAAAACACTTGAATAATTCAAACCGTGCTGCCAAAAACAATAAAAAATATAAACAAATCTAAATTCGGATTAAATGGGCACCAATGATATTTTAGCACATTAATAGATAATACACAATATAATTGAGGTAGAAGAGTGAAAGTTACAACAAAGAGCAAACTCAAGAAGATGACTTCAAGAGTTTTGCATTATGACCATTATATAAGTTATAATAAATATATATTTAAATGTACATACTATTAAAAAAAAATATTTTTTTATGAATAATAGCGAGTAGAGCCAGCTCTGGATGATTTTTTTTTGTTTCTTCATCCAAATTATTAATTGATGTACATTTTAAATGATATCTTATCTTCTAAGTCCTAACAATACAAAAAGGTTGTTGTACCAAATAAGAGAGATCTCATTTTGTTTTTCTTGTATTGATATATAAGGTATTATTAAATTTTAGTTGAAGAAAAGAATAGTTTTTTAAGAAAACTAAAGGGATGTATTTTTCAAAAATCTCATCCATGGTTTTTACTCAAATTTTAAATAGATATTTGCATTTTAGGAGCCAATTAAGAACAAGATCTAATTTTGGTCTAAATTATACAACCAGATTTAAGATCTTGTCTTTCCCAGTAGCTTTTCTTTTTCTCCATCTATTAGATTATATCTTTGAACTCAACACGTTAATTTGTCATTTTAATTTTGTTTGAAACATTTTTTTTCATATTCGATTAACCATTTTTGTATTCTCCTTTGGGATTCTAATAGAGTGTTATTGTTGATTTTGTCCTTTTCACCTATTAGTATCTCTAAATATGAAGGTTCTTTCAACCAAAAAATAAGTTATTATGTACATAATTTGTAACTCAAACCAAATTCAAGGCTAAAACCATGACTTTCTTTTTGATTACCAAAGGTATGTCATTCTCTTGATGTGACAAGACATAGTTTTAGATGGTTCAGATACTATGACATAGGTATTGATAACTCTTGCATGGCTCTCAAGCAAAGTAAAAGATGAATAGCAACACAGACGTAGAAGAGTTTTTTTTTGTAAAAGATGATTTAATGATGTGGTCGATTTTTATCTAGAAAAAAGAATGCTAGGTATATTCCAGTTAAATTCTTGTTGAAACTTTTATTCCAAATAATATTAGTTTGAAAATATACTCAGCATTGTTTTATTTTTGTAAAGAAACAATTCAAATCTTTTGAAGATGTTTAACAGTATTCGACTAATATAATAGAAAATATTATTATATCTCATTAAAAACAAAATAAAATCACAATGAATCGACTCACATATTATTTAGTTAAAATTTGTTTCTCAACAATTTTTCTTATTGCGTTTAAAATATATTTGAAAAGCCTAAAACAGATATATATGAACTGAACTTATTATATATGCAAAACAGTTACAAAAAACTCTCTTTTTTCGTACATCCATCATAAATTTAGTTAATGAAAACTCAAATCAATAAAAAGAAAGGAAAAAGAAAAATAAATCTAGAGATGTGTCTTACGGATATTGTAACAACATATTTATATGGATCAATAAAAAAAAACTACTATCTATATTTAGAATTGGATTTTAAATGTCTAAAACATTAAACTCTAAACCGAAAAGCAAAGAGTTAGGTATTCAATAAAATTGCAAACTGAAACAGTCGACAAAAGCCCAAACGACAGTATGCTATTCCTTTTATACTAGAAAGAGACTACTTCACAATAAACGAGTTCTTAGGCAACCAAACCTGTAAGACATGATCCATGTCGAAGACATTATGCACCACACATTTCTCTCGGATACGACAACGTCGAAAATACCACAACAAAATAGTGCTTCGGAAAAAGCCTTTGAACATATCTTACCTTATCAAATCATACATAATTCAAACAGTGCTGCCAAAAACAATAAACAATTCTAAATTCGAAGTAAATAGGCACAAATGATATTTCAGCACATTCATAAATAACACACGATATAATTGAGGTAACAGAGTAGCAAGTTACAACAAACGGCAAACTCAAGAAGATGACTTCAAGAGTTTTGCATTATGACCGTTATATAAGTTATAGTAAATATATATATTTAGATAGATAGATGTACATAATATAGAAATATACAACATTGTTGATGAAATAATGGCGAGATGGAAAATTTCTGGTTTGCTTTTGTCTTCCGGGTTGGTTTCTTCATCCAAAGGTTGAAGATAGAAGATGAGGTTTACACTTGATTTTCCCCATCCTCCGGGATCAAAAGTCTCGGGATCTGACCGTGGTCAACGAAGTCAATCTTGCTCAGCCTTAGACAACATAGGACTTGCTCCGGCAGTTCTTCTGGTTTTTGAGCCTGTTTCATGTTCCAAATTCAAGATCTTTATCTACTATCTTCTTCAAGAACAAAAGATCATAGTCCGGTTTACATATACTTTGTATCATACCTGGATGGTTAAGCCGAGATCAAGAGTTCCGTTTTTCAGTCGATCTCTGAATGCTTCAAGTCCTTTTCGTGATATGTAGCTGAATCGATGTACATCCAAATCAATCTCAAAGTAGTTTGGACCCTGCGGAGAGGTAAATGCAATCGTTACTTAGGTGCAAAAGATGACTAATTTTGTGTCTTTAAGAGGTTTTGATGGTGCTAAAACCTTAAAGAAGTTGTGTTGAGGACGAGAGAGGACGGGTTTTTCATTGTAAGCCTGTACAAGCTTCTTTTCAGTAGAGCTTAGGGCTAGATCTTCGGGGTTAACAAGTCCAGCTACTATCTTAAGCCTTTCACGGAAAGCAACGTTGCTGTCTTTAGCAAACCCTTTTACCTTCTCCATCTCATCATTGACAAGTTTCTGTTTTGAAAACAAAAAGAACTCGGTAAGCATTCAGATCAATCATGGGATGTGAGAAATGTAAAGGAAAGGCTTTTAAACCTTGATGCTGTCCTGATACTGCTGAGAGGTTTCTTTTTCGTAATTGTCTCGTAATTTAAAGTAAAGTACAATGCTCATGCCTTCTCCATCACTGTCGCCAAGGAACATTGCAGCAGGATAGGTTGGTAACTGCCAGTGAGGCACAAAGGTCATGATCATTTACACATATATGCATATCAAACGCTACTACATGCTTCTTATGAAAAATGCACGAGCAAAAGTTAGTGACAAACCAAAGATGACGAAGCAGTTGTTGAGTGGTGGTTACCTGAATGTTGACAACAAGAAGAGCGGGGAGCTTTGCCTCGGCTTTGATGTTTGGAAGCTCAATGTGTTGGGCGATATGATCAATCTTCCTTGGACAGACAAACAAGTCAACACCAATAGGAGTGTATGGACACTGATTTGGAGCTGGGGATTTCTTTTTGTCTCTGCAAACATCATTCTTCAACAGTTACGGACAAAGCGGTTTCTAGTAAAAGATACATAAAAGGAGTGGTGAAAGGTGTACTTGAAATAGGTTTCTCCACGGAGTTTAAAAGTTGAAGGCGGTATCTCACACCAACTTCCGCTGGACTGCTTTTCTCTGCCTGAGGAAGGAATTGTAAATCCCGCCTTTGGACGGTACAGCAACTTACGTTGCTCAGTAACTTCCTCACCATCACACGACCTCCTCTTGAAAGAAAGCCGATAAACAGCAGATTTTCGTTTCTGAGATGTGGGTGAGTTTAGAGTCTTGTCATTGAAACTAACTGTTGGCATCAATCGGCTCAGACTGGTTCTCAGAGTTTTCTCTTGAGAGTTCCGTTTCTGTTCCTTCAAGCCTTTAAAGCTTGCATGGTCCATTAGTTTCTTCTTGTTGTTTCCAGTAAGAACAGAGAGACCACTCGGATCCTTGTACATCCCTTTTGTCACATACTTCTCGGTTTTACTCCCATCTATCTTCAAGTAAGTCTCGTGGTATTCTTCGTACTTTCCTTTCCCATCCACAATGCACGAAGAAGATTCAAATTGAACTACTTGACCATTTGGTATATTACCCGTCGCACCACCCGCTGATGGTGCTGATGGCACATTTTCTGCTAACTCACCAAAAGAAATTCAGATCCATATTAACATTACCAAAATTGTTCCTCTGATTGTATATTGATTTCAAATGAGCTTTTACAAGCTCCATAAATACTAAAAATAATGTAGATTGACATTTACCTTCAGGTAAGCTGATGAAGTCCTCATCCTCATCCGAATCAAGAACACTGACAGAGTCAAACCATGCATCATCTTGCGAGATAGCTGCAACAAAACGACTTATAATGTCAAAATCTACTCTAATTATCAACATTATATGATCTACCATAAGCTGGTACAGAACAACTTACCAAAAGAAACTCGGCTCCCAACGTCACTAGGCCTTCTAATATTAGAATGAGGAACAATATCAGACACTTTAGAAAAGTGTTTGGAAGATCTACGACGGCCTTTCCTCCGAGGCCTAATCGCTCTTGAATGGGTTGACACACATCCACCCATTTTTCTACAGTTTTATTTAGATCCTGTTCAAAGAAACATGTAATGTAAGTAAAAAATAAGAAATCCAATGCCTGCAACATATAAACACAAGCTTTCAAATAAAGATAATTAAAGACAAATGCATCCCCACATAGAGAAACTAGTTGTTTCTTCCTGTCTTATTACTAACATTGGGACCAAGTTTAAAGAATCAACAACCAAGTCAATACAAAGATCTCTCAACTATAAAATAAATAATGTAGCCAGCTCAAAAGTGTACCCAACAAAACCAATTACAAGAGTAAGTGGGACACAATAACATGTAACAACAACAAATCTCAATATTAAAACTATACTCATAAGAAAATCTCAAAGATTATAACCAAACAGAGAATTCTCAAAGAACAAAACTAACACTATTTATTTACCCCTAAACCAAAAATTCAATATCTTCATGACAATACACTAATTGGTAAAATTCAATCACTTTCAGTTTCTCATATAAGAACATTTTTTTCTCATATAGTTGAAACATAAACATATGACTTAAAAACGTCAACATCGGTCAGAAAAACATTGAATTTGAAGATTGCAGAAACAAGAAACAGAATTTATCAAATAAAAAACCAAACTTTTTTTTTGTAACATCTACTTTAATTATTAAAAATCAAAACTTTATTCAAATAATCAGGACACTACAAAAAAAGACGCAAACTTTACGAATTTATGAAGATCATGATTGATCCATAGCTGAATTGGAAAAGATCTGAATCCATGAATGATTCACAATGTAGAGACTTTAAAGAAGAATTAAAGCATGTACGAGATCGAAATCGATGAATCTTGATTTGGGTACCTGAGAATTTTAGGCATGATAAAGGGCAGTGCCCTTTTTGTGAAATTGAATTTTTGGAAGAACCCAGGAAGAAGAAGAAGAAGATAAGCAGAATTAGATTTTGAAAACCCGATAATATCGGATCCGGGTCACGGATTTAGCTTTCCCTTTGTCTGCTTTCTCTGTAAAGGAAGAGAAAGAGGGAGGAAACGAGAGCGAGGAGAGAGATAATTTTTCTTTGGTTTTTTTAATTGCAAAGATTTTTTGGAATCATAATTATTATTTGATAATTATAGGATTAAATTAATTACCTAATTAAAGTAATTTTTGCTTTGTTTGGGAAGATTTGGGGTTTTAAAATTGATAAAATAAATACATTAAAATCACTAAACACCCTAAACTCAACTGTTATTGGCTAGTAATGATTTTAAAATATTAAAATCAATAAATATTTGAACAATTTTTTTTAAAATTCATAAAAGAGTTGGTTCAAATATGTCCGCATGAAATGTCTAAGATTTATATTTAGGTAATCCATTTGATCACACATAATGGAAGAACAAGCACAAAAAAAAAACAAAGTTTGGTTTTATGCTTTTATTATCCTTTGGTTCTTAAAGAAATCATTTGAATCAAAACACTTTGCATGGGAAAGATCTTGGTTTATGAAGACTGTGGTTTAAATTTGATAAAATAAAATACAGGGGTCAAATATAAATTTAGTAAAAGAATTAGGGGTTAATCTATAAATTATCAAACCAGAAGTTTTTATACTCACAAGACGCGTCGTTACGATAGAGACGAAGAAGAAGTGAAGAAGACGAATCTTTCGTCAAAGTAGATCCGAATCCTAGTTTGATCTTGATCTTCCCGGCGAAGTAACCAAAATTCCGGTGAGTTTCTCGGCACGCCCTATCTCTTCTTCTTCATATCTGTATCAGGCTCTTAGTCGTTGTTCTGCTTCTCAATCTTGCCGGTGATTAATTTAGAATCGGTTTAATTTTGCGTGGCAATTTTGTTCTTGATTGATTCTAGTTATGATTAGGGTTTTAGATACAGATTCGAACTTATGGTGTTTATGATCCATCTATGTGGTTAATGATAATCTGTGTTGTGTTTTGGTTTTGTGATTAGTAAATGGCGTCAAGGAGAAGTGTACGGTATGCACAGCTTCCAGGAGATGAAGATGATGAAGATTATGGAAATGGTGTTGGTCGAAGGAGAGATTTCGATCCTCGTTTCGATTATACACCGAAAACATTTGATAGAGTACCATGGAAATCAATAGCATTAGCTGTGTTTCTTCTGTTCCTTGGTTGTTTGCTTCTTCTTTTGTCGTTTTTTATCTTTATTGGTCACATGGAAGGAGATAGCTCTCAAGGTTATGCTCTTCTTGTTCTTGGGATCCTTACTTTCCTCCCTGGTAAGAGTTCGAATTCTTCGTCTATTTTTTGTTTCGTTTATTGAGTTTCTTTTGTTGTTTGATACTTAATTCATAATGTTTGATTCGAAAGCCTTTTTGGAATCTGTTGTTTAGTGTGGAGAATGAGTGAGTTAGATCAACTAAAGAAACAGATTGTATTCTTTGCTCTTGAAATGATGTTCTCTTTAGGTATTTGTGCCTCTGAGTCTGAGTTTCTTCAGTTGTTTTCTTGAGTGGATGATGTTTGATTCAAAAACCCTTGTGGAATCTGTTGTTTGATGTGGAAATTGAACGAGTTATATCAAGTAGACAATGCTTGAGTTCTTCGTCTGTTGAAATTATCTACTCTTTCTTCATACTTATTGCTTGGAATCTGTTGGTTGATGTGGACTGTGGAGATTGAGTATTGGATCAACTAGACACAGATTTTGTTCTTTGTTAAGTTGAAATTATGTTCTCTTTATCCATTTATGCTTCTAAGTTGCTCCATATTGCTGGGTGCATGATTCGAAAACAGAATCTGTTATTTCACGTGGACATTGAGTGAGGTGGATCAAGTAGACATAGCTTGTGTTCGTTGTCTGTTTAAATCATCGTCTCTTTGTTTGTTCTCTTTACCTATGTATGCTGTGAGTAAAACAGTGATTTTCATGGCCTTGACACATTTCACAATTGTGGCTACAGGTTTCTACGAGACCCGGATTGCTTACTATTCGTGGAGAGGAGCTGAAGGGTACCGTTTCGCTGCAATTCCCTCTTACTGAACTCAAGTAACTCGAGAAGTCAAGAATATTGTGCATAGAAAAGTTTTAGTGATTGTAATCCAAAAAGTACTACTAGACTTGAGCTGTTTCATGAATCTACTGTGTAGAATCTCCTCTAGTTGAGTTCTGACAGATAAAAGCTTGGATTATAGAGATACTACACATATATTTTGTTATATTTTGTTGATCCATTTTGTGAATCTTGTTTAACTTCGTTTGTTATCAAACTCTTGTCTTTTAACTTCGTATTTCTTTAGTGACAATTATATAAAACATTGGAGGAAAGAAAAATTTGTAAAGTTTTAACTTCTCAATATATTTAATTTTGTTGTGAAATGTTAATTTGACTTATTTATAGAAGAATATGTGACTATACTTTACAATTTTGGGAAAAAAAACTCACTGTCTATTTTCTATTTAGACATTTAATATCTTACTTTTTTTTGTTGGAAGAAAAATATTTTATTTAATTATATTCGGTCGAAAATACCTTATTTTAATATTATTGGTAGATTCAAATATCTGATTTAACGGTCGTTAACTGACGTTACAGTATCAGTAAACAACGTTAAATTATAACGAGAAAAATAGCCGAAAATATTCCATATGTTTATGTTTGGACTTTTAATACCCAACTTTTTGGTTGGAATAAAAATACCTCATTTAAATATTTTTTGTCTAAAAATATCTCATTTTTGAATTATTAATAGATTCAAATTCGTGACTTAACAGCCGTTATAGATCAGTAAACTGCGTTAAATTTTAACTTCAAGTGTATAAATAAATATATTGCTTGATCTGGTGGTAACACGTATGTTATTTAACCCGCATAGAACTTCTTTTGATGTCATATTTTCTTTAATGATGGACATACAAATTTAAATACATTATTTTCTTCACTCCTACAAATTTAAATACATCATTTTCTTCATTCGTACAAATTTAAATAAATCATTTTCTTCACTTTTAAAAGCATCGTTAGAGTTAGAAGAGTCTTTGTGATAGTGATCTTTGATGATAGAATGTAACTATTCTGCAATTAACACATGAGAGATTGGGACAAAAATGACGACGACGATGGATTTGTCATTTTTGTGGTCGTGGAGTAGTTTAGTTGCGGAAGTGGAGAAGAATTTAGGTAAAAGAGGAGAGATGAAAGAAATGGTTCGCGAAAGATGGAGTTTTGATCGTATTAACGCCAGTAATATTAAATAAACTACTTGTTACCACTAGACCACATCAATATATTTGTAAAATTTTGAATAAAAATTGTATATATCTATTTATATACACATGGTTAATAGTTAACATCGTTAAATAATTCTGTAATATCTGTTAACGATTGTTAAGTCGCGAACTTGAATCCACCAATAATTCAAAATGAAGTATATTTAGACAAATATATTTTAAATGAGGTATTTTTCTTTTAACCAAAGAGTTAGAGTATTAAAATTCCAAAAATATATAGATTGGATATTTTTCGACTATTTTCCTGTTATAATTTAACGTCGTTTACTGATACCGTAACGTCCGTTAACGACCGTTAAATCAAAAGTTTGAATTATTGAATCTACCAAAGATAAGATATTTTCCGACCGAATATAATTAATGAAGTATTTTTCTTCCAAACAAAAAAGTAAAGTATTAATAATTAAACGTCTAATAAAAAATAGATGGATATTTTTCGGGTTTTTTTCCAATTTAAAAACCTGAAAAACTAGTAATTTTTTTTCAAACAAAAACAGAAATGGCCCTAATTCAAACAAGGGCTTGAAATTGCATTAAATGTTTTATCTGGGTTTTGTGGTTTCTTGATTCGTCATTACCAATTTTATTATGAAGACTTAAAAACCTGACTCAGCTCTGCGTCACCTACGAGTTGGAATCTGACTTCCCAAGAATTTCTTCAGATTACATCGTAATTTACTTTTTCACATATATTAACGATTCTTCTCTCGCTCTCTTTCTCTATCTATCAATCAGATTCTCCTTGTTTCTGTATATTTCTTCGCTCTTTGTTTGAACAATTTCTCTGGGTTTTTGATTTCTGGGATCTGCTCCAAGAGGGTTTTCGAAATTAACAAGCTTTATCGGGTAAAATTGACTTTTTCATGTTCGTAAAGTTTATCAATTTCGTCTTCTAAACTCAAATTGTCTACTAATTTTCGGAAAAATCAGAGAATTTTTCCTTTGATTTGTCTTTCCTTTGTAAGTCTGTGCCTCTGTGGTTTGGTTTTAGACTAAAACCACAATTATAAAGTAGTTTATGTCGGTGGTTCTTGTCAGGTTTCTTACAAGCTTCTGGTCGGTTTAGATTTATAGTTAAAGAGAAACCAATCCCACATTTGATGAAATGAAATTGAATTGAAGAGTGGTTTTGATTTGAGCAAGTTAATATCTTTAATCCTCTAAGGTTTGGTTTAATGATGTTTTTGTATAGGGAAGTTGCTAAGAGAGCTTACTTATGACTTTGATGTTGAATTTGGTACAGGAAATGGATCATTCATCAAATAGATTTGGGAATAATGGAGTGGAATCGATTTTACCGAATTACAAGCTTGGTAAAACTCTTGGAATTGGATCTTTTGGGAAGGTGAAAATAGCAGAGCATGTTGTCACAGGGCATAAGGTTGCTATCAAAATCCTCAATCGTCGTAAGATCAAGAATATGGAAATGGAAGAGAAAGGTATACGAACACCGTTAGTTCTAGCTTGGGTTGTTTCTGGAACAAAATGACTTGCCTTTGATAATTGAATATCTCTTCCTATTGCTTGAGAGGTTATGTATATGTGCTTAGAAGTTACTTTTAAGTTTCTTGTGGCTAGTTTGATGAATTAAACGGTTTGCTTGTGGTTTTGCCGGTAAATTATCGCTTTGAGCCTTCTGTTCCTTTTTTTTTTATCTTAATGTATGTTTCTTCCTTACAGTGAGAAGGGAGATTAAGATTCTACGATTGTTTATGCATCCTCATATTATTCGGCAATATGAGGTAATAGAGACCCCAAGTGACATTTATGTTGTCATGGAGTATGTCAAGTCGGGAGAGCTCTTTGATTATATTGTTGAGAAAGGCAGATTGCAAGAGGATGAGGCTCGTAACTTTTTCCAGCAGGTTTGTTTTCTCTTACCACAACCAGTGTGTTTGTAGCTTATCATGTCTTCTCTGAGTTTGAGCGTTATTTGCGTTTGACTCATATCCGAGCAGATAATATCTGGTGTAGAGTATTGCCATCGTAATATGGTTGTCCATAGGGACCTGAAGCCTGAGAATTTACTATTGGATTCAAGGTGCAACATTAAGATTGCAGACTTTGGGCTGAGTAATGTGATGCGAGATGGTCATTTTCTAAAGACAAGCTGTGGAAGTCCCAACTACGCTGCTCCCGAGGTATTTAGTTTAGTAAAGTTACTGAATTCGTTTTTTCTACTTCTAGTTTCTCTTATGAGTATCAATCTGTCACATTAAATTTCAATGAATCATCTCTTACTACATGTTGTAGGTTATATCAGGTAAATTGTATGCTGGACCTGAAGTAGATGTATGGAGTTGCGGAGTGATATTGTACGCTTTATTATGTGGTACTCTTCCATTTGATGATGAAAACATTCCCAACCTTTTCAAGAAAATAAAGGTACTGTACGTTATACTTTGATATAGCTTAAAGAATCTTCTAAATCAAATTCGTATTTATGTGAAGTAACTAGGTGTAATTTTCTCTTTAGGGTGGGATTTACACTCTTCCTAGTCATTTATCATCTGAGGCTAGAGACCTGATCCCAAGGATGCTTATAGTTGACCCAGTGAAACGAATCACCATTCCTGAGATCCGTCAACACCGTTGGTTCCAGACTCATCTCCCTCGTTATCTTGCTGTTTCTCCACCAGATACAGTAGAGCAGGCTAAAAAGGTTGGTTTCAGCGCCATTTGGATATTAGAAGAGTCACTTGCGGTGATAGTAACAACTTCTCTTATATATTGCAGATCAATGAGGAGATAATTCAAGAAGTGGTTAACATGGGGTTTGACAGAAACCAAGTTTTGGAATCTCTTCGCAACAGAATACAAAACGATGTATGTAGTTTCGGTCTGTAATGCTTTTAATCCCCTAAACTAGTTCCCAATAGTCACTGAAATGCCACTTGCTACTTGTTTCAGGCTACTGTTACATACTACCTGTTATTGGATAACCGGTTCCGTGTTCCAAGTGGCTATCTAGAATCCGAGTTTCAGGAGACAACAGTATGTGTTTTTCTTTTTTCTCAGTTGATAGCTTTCCAACAATAATATCTCAAAAGCGCCACAAAAAGGATAATTCTTTTATGACGTGATATAGTGAGCTGGTTAAAACCGTGGTTTCCCTCTGATTTTCAACTAACATTTTCACCTTTTCAATTTTACTCATCTAGGACAGTGGTTCCAATTCTATGCGCACACCTGAAGCGGCTGCTTCACCTGTAGGCCACTGGGTTCCTGCACATGTGGATCACTACGGGTTGGGAGCAAGATCACAAGTCCCAGTTGACCGAAAATGGGCTCTTGGACTTCAGGTTTGTTCCTCACCATAAACTCGTCTGAATGCAACACACAATCAGATATCTGTTTGTCTTTAAAGGATCATCAAGTTATTTGGAAATCTGGACATCTTAAAATTTGTTTTTCTTGTTTTGAATGAGTACTCTTTGCCTCTACATACCCAAATCGATACTCAATCTGTTACCATGCTATTTTGAACAGTCCCATGCGCATCCTCGTGAAATCATGAATGAAGTTTTGAAAGCTCTTCAAGAACTCAATGTGTGCTGGAAGAAGATTGGTCACTACAACATGAAATGTCGATGGGTTCCTGGGTTTGCTGATGGTCAGAATACTATGGTCAACAATCAGCTGCACTTCAGAGATGAATCCAGCATCATTGAGGATGACTGTGCCATGACTTCACCCACTGTCATCAAATTTGAACTTCAGGTAACTGCAAACGCACACATATATTTGTATCAACAATATTCCTCGAAGAAAATGAACAACTGCCTAGTTTGGTTTGGTAGGGTAATGAATCCAACGGTTTTACATTCCCAGAATTGTGCTGGAGCAAAGACTAAGATCTGCTGTTGTTATACCCCACTAGTATTTAGGTTTCTTGGTTATTTCT